AGTGTCACTGAGAAAGGAGACCTTGTGGACTACTGACAGTGTCTGCAGAATTACTGACTCGAAAAATCTGTAACACCTGAGAAAGACCATCATCATCTAGGGGTCCTAAGGGGAGGAAGAACAGTCTTGCAGACAGGACCTTTAATCAAACCTCTGCAGATACGGGTTCAATTCATTGTTCTTCCATAAATCACTCCATAACACTCACCATCTGTAAATATATATGGAGGAGCATTTCCCACTTCAGATCACAAACACTCAACTGCTGGGAGCACCTTTAACTGTTTTTTAATTCAGAATCTCATCAAGCAGAACCTCAGTTACTGACTGATGTCCCTGAGATGATACTTCTGCATATAACAGCACAGGCAGAGCCCCCCTGTGCTCCACGCTAGGTTACCTGGAGGATCCCAGGAGGAATAGCAGAGTCACAGAGACAGATAGAATAATATAAGTTAAAGCATCCTCCCAGGACTAATTTCTTGGCAGGCAGGTTCATACTATGTACCAGGGTTTAAGATAGGCTTTTTAGGTCTGTGCAGCTCCTCTACCAAATTTTCACTTACTTCCAACTTCCCACGAGCCTAGCAAAAACCTCACTGCAAGTCAGTAAAAAGCAGGTATTTTCTAGGGTCAGATCTGACTAGTAGATAGAAAATTATAATTATCAAGAAAAAATTATTTCATGTGCCAGTGATGACACACAATCCCTCTTACAGGGAGCTCTATTTTCCATTTCAAGCAAATAGATTTTCTGTCCTGAGCATCAAAAATTTAAACCACTCATCCTCCCCGGTGTTTTGCATTGAGCATGGCTCGTTTCCAAAAGTCAATGTTAAAAAGCAGAAGGGAGGTCCAGTGTTACATTACATCTCAATTTTTTCTTCATCAGTCATGTCTGGTTTGCAGTTTTCAAACACAGTTTTATGTGGTGTTTTTTCTGCTGACTCGGAATCCTGAAGCCCTGGGTTTTAGAGACAGACTGAGCTATTTTCTTCTTTAACACTTTCACTAATAGCAGTATTTTCGCAGGCAAGTTCTGCTCCACTGTGCAGAGTCTCATTGACTTAACAAAGCCCCTGTTTCTGTGAAACATGCAGATCTGCTTCTGGGCTGGAGAAGCACTTAAAGGACAGAAAGTTAAAAGCTCTCCATGTTACCTCAGTCAATAAAATCAATAGATGTGACAGGCGGCCAACTCAAGAGTATTTGAGCCACACAGGGACTGAAGGTAACACTCATGGGTCAGCCCTATCTGACTGCATTCCCAGGTTCACCTCATGCAGCAACTAAGTACAGGGACCCGTAAAAAGCTGTGGTCACTTCACTCTCCCGAATTACTCATAAAAATCCCCTTCCCCAGAGCTCTCCTAAAAATGAGGTATGTACCCTGTGGCAATCTACTGCTGAGAAATTTAATCCATGTCTCATAGGGTTGGGAGACCTGGACACCTACAAGATACAAATGGCTTCATTAAGTATCACTTTTATACAGCTCTTGGACCACATACAGTATAGCTAATAAAATGCCATCTCATCTGCTTGCCACTTCAGAGGTTATTACAATTACATGAAAAAATAAACAAGGGCAAAAAAGCAGAGAGATGATCTAGAGCAGCAGGAGGCCTGACTAGAAGTACACAGTGCTGATCTCAGGTCTGACACATCCTCCTGCATGGTCCTGTTAAGACAGTCAAACCCTCAGGTGCTTTGTAATCCTCATAAAAGGCTTTGAAATTTGAAGAAGAAAGGTGTCTTATACCCCTTGTCCCTATCTTCACCTTGGATTTTTGTTAGTTTCCCTGTCAGGAGCACCGGGAAGTATTAGGCTTCTCATTGTAGCAGGATTCTCTGCCTAGAGTGGGGGAAAACCAGCTTGAACATTTTTATTTGCAAAGCTATCAGTGCTGAATGGAGAAAGGGATGCCATGCTGGTTTTGGTGTTGAAAAATGCTGAAACCAGCTGGACTCATCAACCCCAAAGTTAAACATTCTGAGAAAGAAAAAAGTACCTGATAAAGGACCCAAAAAGTGATATTACTTACAACTTAAATAAAGATGCTGAGCTGGCACAGCTGGCCTGGAGACGTAGGACTGACAGTCAATCACTTTATACTGTAAAAATCCATTCCCATTTTTTAACTGTGGAGTGTTCTAACGTGCTCCTGCACCAAGTGTGTGTGTGCGGAAATTCCTCCCTTGACTGGGGATGCTCCTCAAGGTTACTCCTCAAGGCTGAGCAAAAGAGATTTCCCACAGTCAGCAGCATAGGTGAGTAATATCAATCTCTACTTAATAATTGATTTTGCTAGCTTTAATATAGTTGCTTGAATATTGCTCCAAAAATAGTACACTATACTAGCAGTTATAGCTACCTATTCCAATTAAGATCTTTTAGTCTGATCATTATAAGTATCATAATAAGTTTAAATAAATAATTTATTTTATATCTAGATAGAGAAATAGACAGATAAAGATTTGGGCTGCCATCCTTAATCCTGCAGGACAAAGTTCTATAAAGTTTCAATTATACCTATATAATCCTTTAGAGATAAACTGTCGGCAGAGGCTGAGGCCAAAATTGATTCCTTGATTCCAGCTGCACTAAGACTCCTTTTTGAGAAGTTTAGAAAGCAGGAGGATCCTTTCTGCACCTCGTGACTCAACTGGAAGGCTTTTTTAATACATTTTGTCTGAAGCTCACATTCTGCCTGCAACACTCATGAGTCTTGATTTGATTTATTTATTGAGTTATGCTCATGAAAGACAACAGTAGAAATTGCACACAGCTAAAAAGTAAACATGGTATCTGCCAGGTCCTTGGGTTCTTCTCACTTTTGCCCCCCAGTTTTTTCTTAGGAAAACAAAAAACTACAACATTTCTCATCTGCTGCAGAGATAAGACACTTTCACACTCTGCCAGTGTATGCCAAACCTATTTGGAAGGCAGCATCACCAGGCATCTTTTTGTGAGCAAATCTATTAAAAGAAAGCTCTGTAAAGAAATTGCCTCAAGGCTCCAGTTCAGTGGTAGCTATGGCAGTGTTCCTGTGCTGTTGGCTTGTACTCACTGTGGAAAGTCCCCACAAAGTCATGAATAAATGGAGCTCTTTATGCTTTTGTCATGGGATCACATGGGCATATGAGTCCAAAATGAGCAGGAATCTCTTTTACAAAACCCCACTATTCTGAAGGTAGAAGAATGGGTTCATTTAAGCAGGTCTTCCCAATTCAGTACCTTTGAATAAGTACTGTTAAATAAAAGCTCATGTCATTTGTCAGCTGAAATGTATTTTCTATCTCCATTGCCATATTTGAATGACTAGGCCTTGAAAACAACTGTTAAAACTCTCTTCCTAATTAATACCTTAAACAGAGATAACTTGGAGTCATGTGACTTAACAGCAACTACATCAAGGTAACAGTTTTTGCTCAATGCCAAGGACATATTAAATTAAGTCTTCCACCACATGACAGACAGCTCTGTTCACAGAAATGAGAAACAACAGAAATTTAAAAAAACCCCAAAAACAGTAAAAAATACTAAAACAAATCCACGTGCTCTATGATTCTGCAAAGGGAAACATAATCATCCTTACTTGGACAATAGCAATGCTCAACTGAACATTCAAGATCCATCACACTTTACTTAAGCCATCTACAAAGTAGCAATGTAGAAGCTCTTGTAATCAGGTTTACCTGTCTGATCTGCAGCATCTCCCTCACAATGAGTTTAGCCTTAATCTATCACCTCCAAAGAGAACTTTTGGGGAATCTCTCAGGTACAGCATTCATAGTACACACCTCCATAACACATCTCTATGCATAGATAGATAGATGGATAGATAGATAGATAGATAGATAGATAGATAGATAGATAAATAATTTAGTAAGTTGACTCCTGTCCACAGAGCTGCAAAGACAATGGAGTTTTCCTGACACAAAGAATTCTGTCACAAGCTGTTGAGAGCAAGCTTAACAAATCCTCAGGCAGTAGCATCTGGCCAGTCACTGAACAGAGTACCAGGCACTTTAGAGTTTGAAAACTGGCCATCAACATTCTTCTCTCAGACAGCTGATTTTATCAGCAGCAAAGCACAGTCAGAGATGCAACCTTTCAAAAATGCTACTTTTGATGATGATGTTCAAGTTCAGGACTCCACTTGAAATTGTTGGGTTTTTTTGGTTGTCCATTTTGTTGAAGTTTTTTGCAACTGATGGCTCACGTATAATTTTCTAAAAATTTATTTCAGATAGGACTGTAGACCACGGCTTGATTTTCCAAGAGCATGCAGAAGTGTTAGAAAATGAAAACTTTACTGAAAACAATAGTCTATTAAAAAGGCATTTTTAATGGGCTCGACTATTGTCAAGAACTCACAACTAATTCCAGTTCATGACCAAGAGTATTCAGTCTTTCTCCAGTGCCCACTGTTTCACCCTGGAGAACCAAAAGTATTTGTAACCTCTTCTTCCTCCTCCTTCCTGGAGTGCCAGGCAAAAGGCTGCCTCTGCTCCATCTCAAGTAGCTGAGTTGTGACTTATCATTAGAACAACCTCAAACTCAATCCCATATAATGTCATGCTCTCTATCAGGGTTTCTTAACAACTTCTAGATTAACAATCCTTCAGAGAAAAAATAATTTAAGGTCTACCCAGCATAATGATGACACTTTCATGTCTCTGTGGCAAACTTGTGCCCCCAAGGTTTTCCTTTCAAGCATATGCTCCTGAATCTTTACATTGCCTTTTGTTTCAGCATGGCAGCGCTCATTTCAGCCCTAAGACAGATCTTAAATCTATACAGTCTATATAATCCTAGGCAGACATAATTCAATAAGCCTGTTTTTCCTTTTCATGCTATTGGGTTTGAACATTTTCTTTGCTAAACCTGCCCACAACACATCCTATAACACAGAAAACCTTGAGCTGACTACCCATAAAATATATTGCGTCAATGGTCAGACATAAATCTGCGCTGATGCTGCAGCAAAAAGAACCACTGCTGAAATGAATGTCACATCAGGTTGCGGTCTCAGAAGAATAGACAGAAGCAGGAGACACTACAGGGCAGAAACAATAAAGGAAGAAGCCTCCCTCTCTCCCCCAAGCTGCTATGAAGCAAAAAATTAGGCCAGAGACTGTCATTAAAGCAGTATTATAATTACAGCTCCTAGAACCGTATAGTAGTAAGCTAAGGACAGAAGGAAGTTTCTTTAGAAGGTGCCGAGCTTCTTTCAACAGAAAACAGCAAAACATCTCTCAATCATCTACTCAAAAATATGAAGTCACGTCAAAGAACCGTGTGCATGCAGGCACAGTGCTATCAGATTTATAAAAGCGGTGCCTCATGCAAGTGCAAATGAACCCTCTCAGCTTTCTCTGGTGGAGGCTGGGAAAGAAAGCAACTAAGCCAGCAGCTGTTATTCCTCAGAAACCTGATCATAACCTCATCAGGATCTTTGCTTCCCCACTCAGTTACTCAGATTCTGAACCACAAAAGAGCAGGTATGACATTAGTACCAGCAAGGCTGGGCAAGGAGAAAAGATCAGTAGGTGTACAGCTGAACATTGGCAGAAACAAACTGTGTGCCGTGGATACTAGCAAAAGAAAGAAAGGAGGAGAGAGACTCTGGGAATACAGGGGAAGAGATTAAGGATGTTTTTATCCTCCCATTTTCTCCTCATACTTCCTGATGAAGCACACAGCAAAGCTTCAGAAGACAAAAATACTTGTATTTCCACATGTCTGTATTTCCACATGTCTGTATTTCCACAAGAAAGCAAATTATACTAGCGTTGTTTCCCTCCTTTCACATTCATTTTATGCACATCTCTCTTGAATATGTTTGCTGGAGAACACTCTTTGTAGATCCAGAGTCAGGATCTCCTAATTGCAATAGTAAGAGTTATTGTATAATAAGGAAACAGAAATCATCCAGACCCAAACAAGAAATTCTTCCTTCTTTCCACTGCTGTGGTTCCACTCCCCTATCCTCCTGAAGTGCTGTAATGCTGCTTCTTTGTGTTCCCGAGAGTTTCCCAAGATACAGGAACTGGGAGAGCCAGTTCCTACAAAGAGTTATACACAGAACCATAGAATGTGGTGGGACACCACCTTCAGGGATGCAGGGAATAAGGACAGCCTTTAGGAAGAACAAATTTTATTCTTCTACGTTTAGCATGTCACCTTCCAAGATTAAAAAAAAAAGGGGGGGGAGGGAATGTTGCAAAGAAATAATTTTGTTTCATGATAAACATATTTAATGGTGGGAAGCACATAGCAAAAAAACAAAATCACTGGTTAAGAACCAGAAAAATGAGAAGGAAGTAACAATTTAAACATCAGCGACATTTCTGATAATGTGTCTAATGGCACAGCACAGTAGAATATTAATCCTTAACTTTCTAATTTGGATTTATGGGAGAAGTATATAATTCAGTGGATCTTCAGCATGTAACATACAGGGAGTATTTCAGCTTTCCAAAAGCATGTGCTGCTTCAGTCAGGATATGTCATTGGAATAGGTTGGGGAGTACTCATTAAATCACTTGTTTATTATTCACACTACAGGAATGTGAGTTCTATTGGTAAAATGAATCAATCAGAGAGCAAAGAGCTGTTCTCTGGAGTCTGCATTAATCAGCCCGACAAGCTGTCACTAAGGATTGGGTCAGGCTCATAGCACAGCATCCAACCAGTGGGGAAAAAAATCCCCGAGACGGCTGGAACAGGGAACAGTTCACCCATTTAAAGCTGTCCCCAGAGGCTTGTGTCAACCATTTATTACTGCTCACACACAGCTGCAGAAGCTTTTAAGTGAGAAACCTGCATTCTCGGACGTTCCAGAACTGTGTGGAAACATGCTTGATCTCAGCTAGTTCTGGGAGGACAAGCAAGATGAAGTATCCTGAAAGAAATACTGCTGGGCTTTAATAGAGCCCTCTGAAGAAAATGCATTCATGAACTTGGAAAAGGTCTAAAACTAGGACACATGTCAGAACAGATACACTGTTGGGAAACATTCAGAGCTGTCATGCAGTCTGCACTTCAATAAAACGTTTTTTTAAAAAAAACCCACTATTTTTACAGACTATTTTTTCATACAAGCATATTGTTTTCAAAGTTTAGCTGTTGCCTAGACTCCCTCAATATAAGTCTAAAATATAAAGTATCATTTTAAAAAATGTCACTCAAGAGAATGCACCAAAAAAAAGCTTTTTGGTTATTTTAAAAAACCCAAACAAAACAAAAACCCACAACCATTACCCTGTCCCACTCTCTACCCTGCTGGTAAAGATCATGAACTCCTAAAATCTCATTATTCTGAGATATACACTCTGTTAATGAGAATGAACATAACAGAGAATACAAGCACTAACTGGGCTGCAGGAGCCCTAAACAGACAAGAAACGTGGGACAAAAAAAGAAGCAGTCAGCAGTTCTGATAATACTGTGAAGCTGTGTAACACACATAGCAACACATAAAATCAATACACTGTACCAGAGAACACAATCACACACTGCGGCCACTTGGATGGAGGAGTGATAAGATCAATGTTTCTGTTCTTGTCAGCACTTGTGCCAACTGCACCTTCAAGCTGGATGGAGTTTAAAACTGAGCATGACCTACAGGGACAGAGCTGCAGGATGGGCTACAAAAATTGCTGAATAGCTCGAAGAAGAAGTGGTTTAGCTGAAGTATAATTCAGGGGAGGCTGCCTGCCTGGGAAGGCAGTTCTGGAGGGAAAAACTATAAAAGAATGAGTATCTAATTGCAGCCATGTAGTATGAGTGCAAGCACTCAGAAGAGAGGAAGAAAATCTTTCTGTCCTCACAACAGAGCTTCTCCATCTCATGGAACTCTATACGGAGTGCTGTGCATGCTGCTGCTCTAAACTTGACTGCAGAAATATTAGCGCAACATTTAAACACAGCCTCAGGCAGCATTGGCAAGACTGTATCCAGCAGATGAAGAGATGTGATTATTCCACTCTATCCAGCATTTGTCAGTTCACACTTGGACTACTGTATACAGGCTTGGTCATCCCAGCTCAAGAAATTGAACACTATCCTGCATTGTTCCACCAAGACAAATAATGAACGCAAGCTGTTTCAAGGAAAATTTTGGCATGGCTGTAAGAAAAAACTGAACAAACGGAACTAATTGAAAACAAATATTGGAATAGATTACCAGGAGAAATGGTGGCATTTCCCTTGCTAGAAATATTCAGTGCTGAGATTTACAGGGCCCTAGGTAACACAAACTAAGGATTTCCCTTCAACAGAAGGTTGGATCAGATGTTCTCTAGAGGTTCCTACCAACCTAGAGGTTTTTCTATGATTCCATGATCTAAACATATGTTGTGCTATATGCACCACTAAATACTGCTTTTGCCATAAACTCATTTGAAATTAGATTTTTTCTGATTTTTCTTTCCATTCCAGCAATAAAATAAAAATATTTTTAAAATAGTAATGACAAGACAAATGGCGGATGGTTCACAGTTTTTCAGAATAACTCTCAGCATCTATTGAAATTAGCAAGCACAAGACTTTAAATGAAATGCCCTTTCACAGAATATTTAATTAAAAAAGTAGACCTTCTGCCAGATAATTTTGGATAAATGGCTGAAAAGAGTTCTATTAATTCATTCAATTTCTTTAGTCTCCATGAAACATTTTTACCATATACTTTAAAAAGGCAAGATACACAAACTTTTGGTCTCATCTAGTATATGCAATTTTGCATCTGAGCCTCGTGAATGGAAGGTAAATCTATATACCAGATATAATATACCAGAAGTCAAACATATTAATATTAAATTGTAACTCCACTACAGTTTATTTGGATCATGAATTTAAATACTCAAAACAGAACCATGGAAATCCTACCACTAATAAGGTGAACCTTACCACTAATATCTACTACATCATGAAGCACAACATTTATTTGAATTAAGCTGTAAATGGACGAACACAGTAAGAGACAAAACAAGAATAAAATCCAGCAACAGTATCAGGTTCCATTTCTACCTAAAAGCAGAAGGACAAACTTAAATTTCCAAAGAAAATGGGATTCCAACCTCCCAAAGTAAGAGATAGCTCTATCACACCAACATTGTATATCACAGCCACCTCCACAGGCATATTCTATTAAGAGAGTAGATAACACCTAAAAAAACTAACACAAAAAATAACAAACAAGGAGCAAATATAACTCCAGAAATCCGCATTTTAGACTGCATCCTGTAAGATACAAAACCAATGTTGCACTGAAAGACATCCCAACATTCTCCCAGATGCCGGGACTGCAAAGAAAGATCCCACCTCAGAGTCCTCTCTACATTTCAAATGCTGAAAAAGTTATTAGTACAAACATCACTCAGGCAGTAAAAGACTAACATATGGCTTGAGGGAAAGTAGGAAGAAATCCCACTGCTAGCCATGCAACAACTCTACCTTCTCTAAATGTTAAATCTAATGTTGGATTTTTTTTGTTATGGAATATATACTTTATTTGCTGGTTTGGACTCACAAAAAATATTACAATGCAATCAATGAAGAGAGATACCCTACAGCCAAGCCTTCAACTTGACTGTCATCTGCTGCATGACCATCTCAAGAAGAGACCTCCAGTTTACTCCGTGACACCTTGCAGGTGGTGGGGAGGTTTAGGGAAGTTGTGTCAGGAGAAAACTTCCACTCCTCTAGGTACTTCTGGATGTCAATGGCACGATAGACCTCTGGAGTACACAGCCAAATAAAAGGATGCTGCACCAGTCCTAAACCTGTTAGGAGTTTTGTGCCTGCAGACAATGCTGCACAAGCGTGTGGAGTTCCAAGGTTTGGCTCTGAAGTCTCCCACAAGGCACATGGCACATAACAGATGGTCGGTTGCTTAAGACACTTAACAGGGACTTCAGGGATCCAGATTCAATTTCAGTTTAACTTTGTACAAGTCTCTTAGAAGGACACATCTACACCATGGATATAGACAGATTTAAGCTGTCTCTGCCCAAGCTAATCTGGCAAAGAAAGTGCAGGAGGACTGCTGCAGACACCCAAGCTTGAGAGAAGTAATCAGCAGGATTTCTGAGCTCGTGGGCACTGCCATGCAGACCTCAACACAAGCCTCTCCATGTTCAACTCTGCTGCATGTGGATTTCTGTCCTGGTTTCGTCTGGGATAGTGTTAGTTTTCTTCCTAGTAGCTGGTACAGTGCCATGTTTTGGATTTGGTGGAAGAATAGCATTGATAACACAGAATCACAGAATGCCTTGGGTTGGAAGGGACCTTAAAGATCATCTAATTCCAATCACACTGCCATGGGCAGTGGGAACCTTCCACTAGACCAGGCTGCTCAAAGCCCCATCCAACGTGGCCTTGAACATCTCCAGGGATGGGGAATCCACAACTTCCCTGGGCAATCTGTGCCACTGCCTCTCACCTGTTGCTGAGCTGTGCTTACCTTGAGACAAAGACTCTCCAGGGTCTCATGCTCTGCCAGCGAGGAGGTGTAGAAGAGCTGGGAGGGAGTGTGGGCAGGACTGGCCAAAGGGATGCTTCCATACCATAGAATGTCATGCTCAGTACATAAACTGCAGGGAGTCAGTCAGGAGCCATCAGTCACTGCTCAAGGATGGGCTGGGCATCAGTCAGTGGATGTATTGTACATCACTTGGGGGTTTAATTTGTATCTCTCTCTTTGTTATTTCCCTTCTAATTACAATTATCATGCTGTAGTTATGGTTGTTACTATATTTTATCTCTATTTCTAAACTGTTTTTATCTCAACCCACTTACCTTTCTCGTGATTCTCCTCCCCATCCCACTGGGGTAGAGGGCTGGGGAAATGAGCAAGCAGCTGTGTAGTTGCTGGCTGGGGTTAAACCACGACAACTTGCTAGTTCTGGTCCCTAATGGCTCTCAGCCCTCTACCATGTGCTGTAATGCAGACATTCTCTTTGTTTTGGTGTCTCAGCTTTCCATCTGTATCAGGAGGATAAAAGCACGGCCCATACTTACAGGGTGTCAAGAGGATAAATACATTAAGTGGTCCTAAGGCACTCTGGGATTACGGTAACAGATGTAATATCAATTCCTTAAAGCAGTGAAAATGGAGAAGATGGGGCAATTGAAACTCTAAGGAAAGAGCAACTGAGAACATGAAATTTCTTTTTTTTCTAATTTAACCGTGTCTGCATCCAGAGGACACTGCAAAAGAAAAAGGGAAACTTTGGAACATAGCAATAGCTTGATGAAAGTTAAAAAGTGGGGGATAGGCACAGAAGGATAATAAGATTCTTAACCATCAATTCAGTTTAAAACTACTATGAAATGAGACAAAAAGAGATATTTACATTTCTGAATTACAATCTATTTATAGACATCTCTCCTACCTGCTTAAGAGCATAACTAGTTGGAAACATTCCAAGACAATACAGAAGAAGAAAGGAGTCTTGTGAAGTATCCACACTTCTCAGCAGTGACACAGCTACTAACAAAATGTAAGTATTCAGGAGCACCACTTAAAACACAGTGTGCTTAATACATCAATTAAAGAAGCTAAAAGAACAAACCTCTGATTCAGAAGCAGCCCTTCTAGTAAATTCCATTTCTCTAAGACAGCAATTGAAGACATTTGATTGAACAGTAGAACAATACAAGTTCTTTTCCCTCTGTTTCATTTTTGCATCATTTTAGCCTCAGTGATTGTACACGGTGGTATAGAGACACGACTATATATGATGGAATTACTCCCAGTTAACTGCTTCCACTGTTAACCATTCCATACATTATTTGCAGAATAAACTGCATGGTTTAAGTTAACATGCTTTGCAGCACATCCACAACATGGTAGAAATGTGCACACAAGCAACTAATGCATCTCTCTTAATGACTGGTAATTTGTTAAGCTGATGAACCCTAAGGCTTATAGTCATCTGTTCATAATCTTGTCTTCATCCATAGCCTATTATTGTCTTGCCTCAGACTTCTTCATAATAAAAAAAATTAAAACATTAAACCCTGCTTATTTTAGTAAAAAAAACTCCCAAACTTATCAGTCACAACTCAATACAGTGTTAGAAATTAATAATTCTGTAACAGATGATTAGCATACCAGTTTCTGCTGGTTTTTATTCTTTGCAGCAACTCTCAATACATGTCATACACCTTAAAGAATCAACTATAATGTGATCATTTTCTACTGCAGACCTATAATTTGTA